TTTTTAGTTGTTCAAAGATAGCTTCAATGCTCATTCCTGCTCATCTAGGTATTGTTGGAGTGCAGCCGTAGTCTGAAATACGTAGCTGAGGGAGAGAGAGTTGCCCTACTTACACCGTCATTAACTTTTACAGGGCGCCTCGCAGGTGGCTTGCGACTATCAGTACCTGGCCGAGGCGGACACCATTTGTGGCAGCAGCAACGAGTGCCAGGCCTCGGCTCGCTCCGTCTTGATGATACTGCGCGGCACGCCCGGCCGACAGCTGGGACCGCGCGAGTGTTTGAAGAATCCTTGCCTATACCGGGCCATGCGTGAAATTGGGCTCTAAGCGAGCGGCAATAAATGAAGCCAAAGTATTAAAACAAAATGAAAAAACAAGGAAACAAACTTACAAACATTTCTTAACGTCCTTTTGTGCGTTTCAAAAAAATACAACAAACAAATACTAAAATGATGTTAAAACCAACAAAGAAACTTTGCTGAACTAGCAAATCAAAAGTTATTTGATTCAAAAAACAAAAAAACAAAAAAAAAAAAAAAAACAAATTTTAAAAATCAAAATAATATTCTATATAAATGTATTAAATAGGTGGCTAAAAATATTTGGATACATTTTGCTGTTGTCCTCCAATATGGCAGCAGCTCAACTAGAGACCTAAAACCAAAAACACAAAAATATATTAAAATGATATAGACAAAACCCAAGCGAATTTCCAAGCTACAGATTAAACATATACCATAAACCGTATAACATGAATATATATATTCATATATATGTGAATGTTGATTTGAGATTTTTCGCCAAGCAGTAGGCATCAGATTTGTAGTCCTTTAATAAATGCAACAGCTAATTGTTCATTTCGTTTTGAATGTAAACAGCAGAGTCTTTTTGGAAGCACATTTCAGACTATATAGTGCATATGTTTGTATACAGTATATACATATATATATAATCAAAAATATTCATTTGGTATATTCATGAATGTATTAACAGTTATTATTATGTGTACAAGTTCACTCAATGAAAATAAAAAACTCAAGCAAATTCACGCAGGCAGCTAATTAGCAAATATATAGATACATATATATATACAAATATGTCTATATCTTTTAGATACCGCCCATCAAATGCTTACGAGACAATTGCAAATATAAAACTATATATTTATATAGTCCAAACAGTTATAGAGACAAATTTGACGCGCAAACAATGACACAA